ATTAGTTAAAATGTCAAATAGGATAAAATTGTGGGAATATAATTTTCGACCCAAGCTGTTGGGCCGTGGGGCACAATCCTTCCAGGGGCCACACGTCTTAGGTCAGGATTTCCGCTTCACTCGCTCGACTCATGAACGTGGAGCTGGGCCCCAGAGGGCCTTTTATTCCCAGGGTCATTTAAATCCAGTTGAACTTAAATTTTTTGGAAAAGATACAGGTTTGGTCAAAAGAACAGACGCTGCTAAAAAGAGCCAGAGAAGGAAAGTTGAACTTAATGGAAATTCTTTGCATTCTTAAATGAAGTAAGCAACATGTAGCTCCATGAATTGTGCATGTTCATATTTAGGCTCCGTAGACAGAAAAAGATTTCACTTCTATTGAGTTAGTTTTGAAGAAGTATGTGAATCCTAAATCCATTGTTATCACTAGTCATTACTTTGAAAGGACAGTTGCTGAAGTTTTTTGTCATTTAAAAATCAACTATTGGATTGACCCGTAGATAACTTGAGATTTCTAGAGACAAAAGATATAGATTCTTCTTGATAAAAGAAAGAGTTTGAGATTTAAAAAAAAAAAAAACTGCTGATTTGGGAGTCGGGGTGTACCCAGTGTCTCTAACCGTCCCCCCTTCCTTTTCTCGTGCTCAAGGAATGAGCTTGAGGTTTAAGATTGGGTATTATTATTATTTTGATCAGGAAAAGAACGTGCACTAAAGAGGAACTTTGTTTTGCATGTTCGGAGTTTAAGCAGGAAGCATCAGGAAACTGGCAGTTTCTGAACTTACCTCCTAACATTTCTGGGGATGAAGAAAAACCACCCACAAAGTTCATTCAGTAGACACATGGGGGAGGAGTTGAAGGAATTTGGCAACAACCACCGTTTTTCCCTCCGCAGGTGACATCCTCACCAACACCCAGAAACGGAGCAGAGATTTACGTTGGTGTGGTCGGTCGGTCGCTGTGCGCCACTGGCTGTGGGCCCTGAGTGGACAGGAGAAGAAAGCCTGCAGCCTCCAAGAGGGGCCCTCCCTCACTCTTCGTGCCTGAGACGCTGGGAGTCCTTGGAAACGGGCTCAGGTTTGCGTGACTTGCTTTGACATTGTTTTCTTTCATCTGTGCGGACGCCTCGACTACCCAAAGCTAACGTGGAAGTTGTGAGGCGTGTGTTCTCAGATCTGTCAGATGTTCACTGAATGACTTCGAAGGGGTCATTTGAAGGGAAACAACTACCTAGAAAAAGATACTTCCCACCTCTTGGTCAATGCAGAGGGGGTAACAATGTAATTGTTAGGGCTTTAGTTTTGGTTCGGTCATCTGTGAAACTAAAATGGCATTATTAAACAAGCTAGTTGTGATTAAATTCTTAAATAAGAAATTTTAAAACAATTGAGAAATTACATTACTGTAGTAGAATTGCCAGTAGACCTAAATTATTTGAATTTTAGAAGGGAAGAACAATCTATCTTCATAATACTGTGCGCATCCTCAAAAGTAAGGCAAATGGTTGACTTACGTTTAGAGCTAAATATTTCATACTGGGGATTTAGTATCAAGAATGGGGCGTGTTGTTGTTCACTAACTTTGTGGTTAGATATACCACAAAACCAAATTCAATTTACCTTTTTAAGTTTAAATGTAAGCACTTTCTTAAAAGTAGAAGACTACAGAAGCTAAGTATGTCTGTTCTTTCCCTAAAAGAGAGCCGGCTTCTCAGGTTGGGGTAGGTAAAAAAAAAAGAAGAAGAAAAGAGAGAGAGAGAGAGAGAGAGAAAGAAGGAAGGAAGGAGAAAGAAAGAAAACGAAAGAAGAAAGGAAGGAAGGAAGGAAGAAGAAATTTAAAAAGAAAGAGCGCCAGGAAGGCACCAGTTAAAATAAACCTCTCTGGTTTACAGAGACAGAGTTAATCTTTACTCTGTATTGAAAAAGCTCCTCCCCTTGGCTCCAGCCCTCCTGAGGCAGGAAAGGAGAGAGGTATTTTGTTTACTACAGGTGCAAAGGGCTCTAGGGGGTGCAGGTATTTTGGAAAATAATTTGGAATTCGTTGACAGTTCCCCAAATTGAAATAGCCTTCACATGTTCTCCAACCAGAGCGTTTGAGAAAGACTGAGCCCTGGGGTTCGGAGTTTTTACAGGGAGTCTGAGGGCTGGCACTGTCTTGCCTCGTCCTTCCTCTGGGCCCCTCTGCAGTTACCCACTGGCCACTGCACCTCTGCCCACTGACGGTCAGCGATGAGTGTGCTCTTTAAAACTCGCTGAATCTTCCACTGTCCCCACCATCCTCCCACGGCTCCTTGAGTGCGAAGGTCTCCTGGTGCCTCCAGGCCTCACCAGTGACGGTAGCAACGTGTTGGGAAGTTTGGGGCCCGGTAACCCCAAGACGGCCCATCACCCTGGCCTCTCTCCTGACACTTGAGAGGCGAGCTCTCCTTTCTCCACGTGCACTAGAGAAAAGAATGGAAAGAGACGTCAGGAAACACTGGCTCGGGTTCACCGGCCCCCTCAGGGCCAGCGTGCGTGGAAACAGCCCCTCCTTTCAGGTCATTTCTGCTGTTGCAAATAACAGGGCCCTTGTGGCTCTCGCAGGAAGATACCTTGAATCAGGTGATTCTCTAGAGTGACCAGGAGGTCACTCAAGACACGCTTGTATTTGGGTTTAACCTCATTTTTCTCAGTGACCTCGGCATCTCATTGATTTTTCTTCCTTTAAAGGCACAGGTAAATTGTTGATCTTTCTATCGGCATTGTGAAGTCAGCATTGTAAAATAGACTGTTTTCAGTTTGCTACTTTGATAGAACAGTCTCGAAGCAGGTCGTTTGGGGACCCAGAGAAATCAAAAGAAATAAATAAAGCTACTGCCATCCTAACTGTCCCTGTTTTTGAAGGGGGAGAGGCCCAAAGTCACAGATGTTGAGGATCTTGCTTCTAGAAAGCTGGGGCCGAGCTTCTTGCGGGGAAATTGTGACCTCTTGGCCTCTTCTGTGACTTCAGCCTCGCAGAATTTCTTCAGGCCACCTTGATCCGTTTGCTTCCTAGAAGGACAGGTGACAGGTGGCCACGCGAGTGCAGCTGTCCAGACAGGCTGAAGAGAACACAGCCTTCTTACCTGTGGGGAGTTTCAATTCTACGGGCTCCGAAGCATTTGGGAAAATGGGAAACTTTTATTTGGTAAATCAAAAACTTGCTGATTGGGCATTTTATTGACCAAACTGCAATGGGAGCTGTTTACTGGTCAATGAGAGAACATCGTCATCGCGTAAACAACGGGACTGACCCCACACGGGAGCGGCTGCTGTGAAATGTGCTCAGACATCAAGATGTGTGTTTTCCTTCCCCCCCACATTTTGAAATGTTTCTGGGATAGAACATCAACAATTAGGAAAATTTATTATGTCTTTCGTCTGCAACTAAAATTAATTTTATAATTCATATTATTTAACATGAGTTTTTAAAATCAAAGCTGCATTTACTGTGGGCATTGAAAGTCTCTTTAGGCCGTGGAATAAGTGGTGCGTGAAAGGGCGGAGTTAATAGACACACAGAGTTATGGACCCCTGGGAGTCCCCTGCACCACCCCCAGCAGCCACTCACACGGCCTCTGATTAAATGCTTCGAGGCATGAGAAACCACAGCTTTAAAGGTGACCTGTTGCACCTGGCCCTCCGTCAGTGCTAAGCGCTGGCTCCAGTGCCCAGTTCTGGATCCGCACGTCCCCAGGGTGCTGTCCTGCACCCCGTGGTCTTCCTCGAGCTAAAGTTAGCTCTGGTGCCCTCGGCTGTGAGCAGCGTCCAACGCTCCCCCGGTTCACACCCTGCAGATGCGCCAGCCGCCAGGACGGCCGGGGCCGCCGCCCGCTGCCCCGCTGCTTCCTGGAGCAGCCACGGTGATGCGCAGGGGCGGGTCTGTGGGCGAGAGCGGGAGGCTGACCGGTGTCCCTCGCCCACTCAAGGACAAGAAAGTCTCTCTAAGCCTGGCGGACAGAGGACTTTGGTGGCTCCCTCGTGCCCTGAAAGCACGTGAAAAGTTGCCTGGGCACAGTCTTCTGAGAGGGTCTGTCACTTTCCGAAGATTCTCAAAGGGCCCGTGATTCGTCCTTTCTTTTTTTAAAGGAGAACACTGACCAATTCTTCGGTCTTCTGTGGCCGTGTAGGATAAGACGGCGGCTGTTCCAATTGTAGCAACAGTGTCTCTGGCTGTAAAGAAGGGCTTTTTCCTCTCAGAATGTAAGCCACTGCGCTAACAGGGAGGGAGGCCCTGGGTTGCAGTGGCAGCCGGTCCCCTCTGTCGGTGGCCCCTGGAGGGAATGAGACCTGCTGGTGAGGCAGCGCCAGCCCTGGGCCTGGTTACTTGGAGAACAACAGAGAGGTTTTTGTAAAAAACTTGTGATTCTCTTGGAAGAGACTCTTTCAGTAGTTGACAATATTAGATTTCCTAAGAACACATGATTACCGCAGATGATGTTATTCAAGCTAGAAATAAGTATAAATATATCGTACAAAGTAAACTGGTAAGTGTTTGGTTTCTTTTCTTCCCCCTTTGTAGTCTGCCGGGTAAACCAGATTATGTCATTCCAATGAATGAGGTTTTTCCTTGAGTAAGGCATTTAATGAATAAAATCTGCTGTGGAAGCTCTGTGGGCCTGGGGTAAAGGCAGTAGCCTGCTGTATGTGAACTTACAGAGTGATCGAAAGGGAGCCGGGGAATGACTTGTTCGCCTGTGTTCCTGGATGAACGGGAAAGAGCAGCCTAATATGGAATCCAAATTCAGTTGAATCAAGATGATCTTAATCCACCCCCCCCCAAAAGCGTTATTTATAGGGAAAAACATTAGAATGTTGTTAGGGTAGACATGCCTTAGAAAACCTCCTACTAGTAGACTGGGAGATGAAGTTGTGAAATATCACAGCCAACTTTAAAATAAATTTCCTGGAGACGCTGCGCCGCGTGTCAGTTCAAAGGCACTTTCCAGTAATTGACCTTTGCTCGCTTTTGTCTGCTTAGGCATAAACGGGCGCCATGGATTGGGGGACCCTGCACACGTTCATCGGGGGTGTAAACAAACACTCCACCAACATTGGGAAGGTGTGGATCACAGTCATCTTTATTTTCCGCGTCATGATCCTTGTGGTGGCTGCCCAGGAAGTGTGGGGGGACGAACAGGAAGACTTTGTCTGCAACACTCTGCAGCCGGGGTGCAAAAACGTGTGCTACGACCACTTCTTCCCCGTGTCCCACATCCGGCTCTGGGCCCTGCAGCTGATCTTCGTGTCCACCCCGGCGCTGCTGGTGGCCATGCACGTGGCCTACTACAGGCACGAAACGGCCCGCAAGTTCAGGCGCGGAGAGAAAAGGAACGAATTCAAAGACGTGGAGGACATTAAAAAGCAGAAGGTTCGGATTGAGGGGTCGCTGTGGTGGACGTACGCCAGCAGCATCTTTTTCCGAATCATCTTCGAGGCCTCCTTTATGTACGTGTTTTATTTCCTTTACAACGGGTACCACCTGCCCTGGGTGTTGAAATGCGGGATTGAACCCTGCCCCAATCTTGTGGACTGCTTCATTTCTAGGCCAACGGAGAAAACCGTGTTTACCATTTTCATGATTTCTGCGTCTGTGATCTGCATGCTGCTTAATGTGGCCGAGTTGTGTTACCTGCTGCTGAAAGTATGTTTTAGGAGATCAAAAAGGGCACAGACACAAAGAAATCACCCCAACCATACCCTAAAAGAGAGTAAGCAAAATGAAATGAATGAGCTGATTTCAGATAGTGGTCAAAATGCAATCACAGGTTTTCCAAGTTAAACACTTCAAGGTAAAATGTAGCTGAGTCACCACAAAACATCCGTCTTCCCCAGAAGGCAGTGCCAACCTGAAAATTCCTTCTGTAGGCCGAAGAGTTTGTCTTTCTCCATGACTCTCATAATAAATAGATACTTGGGTTAACTTTTTGTAGAATACTCATGCCATTCATATGCAATGTAATCAAATGTGTGGTCCATCTCAGAAAACAAAAGATTGACAGCTGAGCCTCGAAGTCACTTTGCCGTGTTGGTTTTATGTGGACTGACATAGTGGGTACTTCCTAAAAGTTTAGTAACTGTTGTTGATAAAGAACATTTATCTAGAAATTGGTACTTTTTATTAGCAAAAGATATTTTTATAGGATTGAAATGTTTTTAGTTCTGACTTGGAATTTATATAAAGTATTTTTGTAATGACTGGTCTTCCTTACCTGGAAAAACATAAAACAATGTTAAGTTTAGAATTACGCCACAAGTATCTGAATTTTGAACTTAGAAAGGGTCTGTCTTGTTGTAAATATTGTTTTGCATTGTCTGTTGGCAAATTTATGAACTGTCATGACACTCTTAAGGTGGAAAGTGTTCGCCGTATCATATATTTTTACTGCTTTCTGAATGTAGAGGAGTGGTACGGAAGTGGGAAGCTTTTCTAAACTAGCCTATTTGCCAATCATTGTGAACACCTGAAATGTGAATGTGATCTCAATAAAGCTTGGCCCCATTGCCTACGCCTCCATGTGCTTGATGGTTTCCGTGCCATGTGAGCACCTTGCTGTCCTCCCCAGCGTGAGGAGTCGGTTGGGTTGCTTTTGCTGGGGAGGCCGCCAGTCACCATGTGTGAAGGGCGCCGGTCGGCAACAGGGATTCTCGCATCCGCACCGCAAGTGAGCAGAGGCTGAGCTCAGCGGCAGCCTACCAGGTGCGCGGCTTGGAGAGGGTGGGCTGCTTGGAGGACACTGGGAACCTGCCTGCCCCTCCTCCAGCCTGTCCTTCTAGACCAGTTCAAAGTCTTCTTCCTGGAGACTCTCCCTACCTCACCCTAGGCAGCGCCACGTTCTCCTCACCCTCCTCCCCAGTGTCACTCTGAGAGTGGCTGTGCTTTTCCTGTGCAACGTCCAGCCCATCCCGTCCCCTCTGCCCTGGCCCCAATACGGCCCTTCACCTATTGAGCACCAATAAATGGCTGTTGAACCACCTGGCGTCTGGAATATCAATCCTTTTGCTCCTGACTTTGCGGCGTGGTGTGGGGAAGGGAAGAAGGCTCCTTGGCTTCCTTACTGTAGGAGACATGGGGTAGATTTCTGAAGCCCTGTGAACAACCTCCCTGAGTGCCAGAACTGCGGTTGCCATGGTTTCTCCCACCCACGAGGAGTACGTAGGTGAATGCTGATTGAGGAACAAGAGTGGCCTGGCCAAGGCCTTTTCAGGTCATTTTAACAGGGAAAAAAGTTGGTAACGTAACAGAATGCCTTGAGACCATTCAGAAGGCAGAGTGCAGTGGGAAAAATTCACCAAGATGAGGAATTGAATTAACTGTGAAACTATAGCCAAGAATCTCTTTAAAGATAATACTACAGACAGCAGAGATACGATTATTAATTAGCCTAAGAAATGTGAAGGTACTTGTTAACCTAAATTATTTCCTGGTATGATTTATTAGACACCGAAATAATTTATTTCTAGCTTTTTCCTAACCTAATTTTTAAATTTATGGATTCAGGATTAATGTGGTATGTTAAATTATGACTAGCACTAAGCTAGAAGTAATTATCTCTTTATATACCATGTTACCCTTATTCATCTCTTAAAACTAAGAGATCAGTTTCCCATTCAGAACATAATAATACAGCCGGAGACAGTCTCTTCCTTCTGTAATCAGTATCTATTCAACTTTTCAATGTGTGGAGAAGGGAAGGCATAAATCCAGAGGGGAATTGATGGTGCCTGGTTGACCTTCAGCCCTAAGAGAGATCAATGAATGTTCTTCTAGACTCTGCTCACGGAAAGGGGATGTCCAGCACTTGTCAAGGATTAATATTTGAGTTAAGCACTAATATCAGAGAGATGCTCTTGGCTGAAAATGTGCCGTAACATCTAACCTACTTAGCGGATGCTTGAGATTTGAAATTTTACCGTATTGTGTTTCCTCCCCGCACACCACGGTCTAACACAAGCAGAAGACAGACACTCCTCAGTTGGAGCTAATGTTAACGGGGTCAAGACCGTAAGTTTCTCCTGCAGTACATCTGTCAGAAGAGTGCTGTCTTAGTTCAGGCGGCTATCACAGAGTACCACAGCCTGGTGGCTTATAAACAACAGAAATTTATTTCTCATAGTTCTGGAGGCTGGAAGTCCCAGATAAGACATCGGTGAATTGAGGGCTGGGTGAGGGCCTGCTTCCTGGCTCCTGGCTGGGGCCTCCCGGCTGTGGCTTCACATGGTGGGAGGGGCAAGGGAGCTCTGTTTTATAAGGCACTAACTCCGTTCCGCCTAATCACCTCCCCAAACCCCACCTCCTAATACCATCACACTGGGCGTTAGGAGCGCGACAGGTGAACTTCCGGGAGGACACAAACATTCAGTCCACAGCAAGCGCTAGGTCCAGTTACAAGATCATAAGCACTAAATTAACATAAACTATAGCCAATAGCTTCCCAAATCTACCAGATCAGAATTTCTGGTCCCACAGCCCAGAAATCTGTATTTTTAACAAACTTCAGACTTGATTTTTATACATTCAGTCTCATTCAAGGTCCCCATGGAGCAGGCAAACTTGTCACATGTCAGAGTGCCTAAGGATCACCTGGTGAGGTCATTTAAGATGTTCCTCCCGGAGCCATCCTCGAGGGTCTAACGCATCAGCCTGGGGTGGGCTTGGGAATACGAATTCTCACAGCTTCCTCAGGCGAGCCTCGCCTCGGGACTGGCCTTCAGAAACGCTCCCAGACACGTGCCATGTCATGCACGTCCTTCGAAAATAGCTGTAGCTCTTGGAAACAGCTCCACTGTGGGCCCGCATCTGTAAGAGCTATGCCACGTTCCGCCAAGGCTGACGAAAACTAGTGTATAAAAGCTGCAGATTGACTCCTTTCAGCCCTCCTCCGGAACGCCGCCCTTATCCCCTGGCACAGAGGCCGGGAGCCAAGCACACCACGCGGCCCCTTCCCCAGCCGCTTGGCCCGCGCCCTGCAGAGCGAGCCTCTTCGGCCTGGACACGCACCTGCCGCGGCACCGGCCAGCCCCACGCGGAGCCCGCAGGGCAGCAGCCTCGCTCAGGGGGCCACAGCCACCGGGTGGCAGGGAAGGGCACAGACTCCAATTCCGGCGTCGCTGACTCTTCCAGCCAAAAAACCCCCGGCCCAACCAAAAGGGAAAAAGCCGAAAACAAGCCCCCCGCCCCCAAAGCCCCCGCCCAAGGGGTGGCCGGCCAACCGCCCGCAAAAACCGAACGGGCCCCCCCCGGGGAAGAAGGGGGAAAAGGCCAAAACCGAAGCCAACCGCCGGGGTTGAACCCGGGGGACGCCAAAGTCTCCCTTCCCCGTGCAGGAGCACCTGCCCCACCTGCCCCACCTGCCACCAGTCTGCTCGGCCAGCACCAGAAATTCACACCCACGGGGCTTACCACCACCGAAAACGTATCTTTCTGATCCAGTAATCCCACTTTTAGGAATTTCCCCTACAGAAACACTCAAGTGCAGAAAGATACATAAACAAGGATGTGTTTGCAAAACTAGTTATAATAGTAAAAAATATGGAAACAATGTATACATCCATTATTAAAGAATAACGCAGAGACATTAGCCGGTATTTGCAAACAGTCACTCACCTGTGTGAAGAACAGACATTGGACTGTTGTAAATGGCAGGGGAGGGAAGCAAAAACCGAGTTTATGAAAGAAAGAGAAGGGGAAGGGAGAGAGAAAAACACAGTGTGAGAATAGCGAGGTTTTTTTTTTTTTAATTCAGAATATTACGGGAGCACAAATGTTTTGGTTACATGAATTACTTTTGTACAGTTTGAATCAAAGTTATAAGTGTGTCCATCACCCAGATAGTGTGCATTGTACCTGTCAGGTGTGAATTTACCCATCCCCTCCTCCCCCCGCCACCTGCTTGATTTCCATTGAATTTTACTACCATACGTACACGAGTGTTGATCATTTAGTTCCAACTTAATAGTGAGTACATGTAGTGTTTGTTTTTCCAGAGAATAGTGAGTTTTGTTTTGTTTTTTGTTTTTTTGGTTTTTTTCTATCGTCCCAAAGCTTTGAGAGTTTTGCCGCGGGATGTACCAGTCCGGCTGTCGCTGTGAGGATCTGCTGGCTCCTTTTGCTGACAGCTCCCACTCAGGGGAGCCTAGTCCACACCATTTCCATCATCAGAACTTCCTTACACTCAGGAGGGAAACGGTTAAACGGATTATAGGTGAACTATGCTATAGATGACAGGCAGCCGCTAACAGAACAAAGTAGCTCTCCGTGCACTGACATGGCAGAACACCATGTGCTCCGGCCTCACTGGTGCACGCACATAAACTTGAGTGTGTGCACGTCACGGCACAGAACAAAGTGAACAATCACACAGCAAACTGTTCATGGGGAAGGAAGAGGGATGTCTTTCACTTTTTATTCTACCTGATTCTGTATTTTCTGAGTTTTTTGTTGATTATCTATTACTTGTTATTTTTAAAATAATAACAAGAGAATTAATTTACCCTTAAAAGAAATTTTCTTTGCAATAAAGTACCCCATCTCTAAATAAGCATTTCTAACTGCAAGTATAGCCATGCTATTTGTAGGATTATCAAATAGCTTCCACACTGGTTGGAAATAATGTAATAGTAACTACGATAACAGAGAAGTAAAATGAATTAATAACATACAGTAAATGCTATTACAAATTCATCGTTCAAGCTAATTGTCCTAGGCTATCACAAAGACCATTGACAAATGGGCCTCCAGGGAGAGTGACATCTGAGAAGCTCCCCAGCTCTCCCTGACAGCCCAGCCCCTGTCTCGGGGACAGCACAGCTGCATGTGTGTACATGTTCCATCGATGACTCAGTTATTATAACTTTGGATGTGAATTTGTCATTTTCCCTTTGGTGCTTTCAGTTTTGCCTCATGTATTTTGGAGCTCTGTTATTTACTGGACATACATTTAAGATTGATGTCTTCTGATGAAATGACCCTTTTATCATTTGAAATGTCTCTCTAATTCTGGTAATCTCGTTTTGAAGTGTATTATGTTATAGTACAGACACTCCAGCTTCCATCCCATTGAGTTTGTGTTATTTTTCAATATGCCTGTGAGTCTACTTCTATTGACTGTTTTCTTCTCTCATGATTATGGGTCTCATTTTCCTGTTTCTTCACACATCTTGTAACTTTTTACCAAATGCTGGACATTGCATATGAAAGAATCTCCAGGAGTGTTTTGTTTGTTTTTGTTTTTTTCCAGTGAGTGCAAGTCCTTTTCTCTTTGCCAGGTGGCTGGAATGAGAAGCTGATCATTCAGATTTCATCAGGAGTCAAGCTGAGCTGAGACTGAGCTCCAGTGTTCATTGAGTGCATTTTCCATTGCCCTTAGCCTAATCTCAATTCCCTACACCTCCAGTATGGAGTGACTGGTCTCTTTGGTCTTTCTGGTGTGTGAGCTGGAAAGAGGCTAAGACACAGATTTCACATCATTTTGGTTCACCTTACATTCAACTCCAATGTGGATTCGAAATTCA